ATTTTGGGTGGTCGAGCGATTGTTGAACATCCATATCGATGCAATTTATGATAACACAAATGCCTAATAGAGATCAAAGTAATGCCCACCATTGCCTAGAGCTTTCTGCAACATTGCCCCTTTGTAAGCTTGGTATTAGTTTATATGCCCAGCGACTACATTTTGCCTGTCGAGACACCAGACTGTTTGGTATAGATGTTTTATGTTTGTTGTATTCTGATAGGTTGTTGCTTACTTCTTTCTCATGGTCTATTCTTAATGCCTTTGCAACCAACTCCAATATGCATAGGTCTTGAAAATTGAGAGTTTTGAAGAGTTGTGGCCTGAAAATGCTGGTTTGGATACTTCTTCTTTAGAATCATTTTATAACCATTGTAATTTTTTTCCTTGACAGGTTTATGCATTGATGTCATTTTTGTCCCTTGTTCTGCCTAAGAGTTCCATCTATTTCAATTCCATCCGTGAAGTGTAAGTACATCTGTATGTGAAATCTGTCATAAGTGATGCATTTACACTAAGAAAGTTCCCTTATTTAATGAGTATCAATTTTGTGCTTTACATATAATTTCTCAATTCCATCTTGTTTAATTTCTGATATCAGAAGTGATATGTGTATTTGATGGACAGTGATGATTTTTTGATTTAGTCTTATACTTATTCAATTTAATCTTTACGGTTGACTTGCTATATTCCAACACACTCCTGCAAGCAAATAGGCCAATTGCTAGGAGTTTGTCAACTGCAAATCTTGGGAAAGATTTTTACTCTTCTCAGTTGGTTAGGTGAATGATATCCCATGGACATATAATTTTGGAGCGTTATGCCTAATATCAATTTTGGTTTCAGGTTGTAAACTGAAGTGGTGTCTAACAGAAGTTTATTAGGATAATTGAAGAGTTTAGAGTAAATGAGGATAATTTCTATGTCAATGGTAGAATGGTTTTAGGTTTTTCTGGTTTGTAGATTTTATGGTGCACATTCCTAACTGGATTGTTGAGTTTAGTTGTGTCTATTTTCTGTAAGAATTTTTTTTCCCCACCTCATTTTCCTAACCATATAGCTCATTCCTTTCAGTATAATAAAGCATTGGATAGATTACACGAATCTGCCTGCTATGTTGTTAAGGTGGGAGTGGGATTCAGCTAAATGGAGCTAGATTGTTGGGTTTAGTTTAATAAGGAATTTTGTGGTTTGTGGCTATCAATCTTGGCTCCCTGCTTTCTTCTAATGCTATTGAAATTTCAAATCTTTCATATACCCCAATAAGATGTCCTGCAATTTGAATGTTTATTCTCATTTGATCTGCAGGTTATTTAATTGTTATCATTTGGGTGCAAACAGTTTTGCCTTTGAGTTTTGCCTAGAAGAAAGTATTTTGTCCAATTAATTTATTCAGTGATGCAAGCAGTGTAACTGTTCAACAAGTGTAGGCTCCAAATTTTTTGTTGTATCTGTTCTCTGCCCTCTCTTATCATGTTTGTTTCTTATTGTGAAGCTGCATAAAATTATTTCTGTCTCCTGTTGCTAAATTTTCTGCTCCCACTTCCCCCTTTAAAGGTAAAAGTAATTAAAGAGTGCAAAATGGTCCTCTTTGATATTGGCTGATTTCTTGTGACTTGTTATCTGAAGTTGAAGCTATATTCTTTCAATGCTTTTCCATGAGCAAATATTTAACTCTTTTCCTTTCCCTTTTGCCTCCTTTAACTGTTTCAGTTATGAAGCTTGGGTCATTTATAATTTCCTGTCACTGTGCCTGGCGTGGGTTGGTGGCCCAGGATCAGTTGTGCTAAGTTTAAGTGGCCGTGTTCTGAAGCCGTCTCTTGGTCTGATGACATGCTGCCTCCCTCCCTTACCACTAGATGGGTGAGCTTTCAGTGAAACCCTATGCCTTTATTTTTGGCCAACAATGAAACTCAATGTTTTTAACTAGGAAGCTTCTGCTTTGAAGTAGATGCTCCTCACTAGCTCCATTAATGCTCTCGAAAGTTTGACATTAAAAGAAGAAAGAGAAATATGTATTCTATTACCCCAAAATATTTGCTTTGAGTATTGGCTAATGGAGATTATACTAGAATTTTTGCAATATGCACATTACAATCCTACTTATTTTCCTGAGAAAATAGGAATTTAGTAATATAAAAAAAAAAGTCATTATTATGGCGTTATGGGATGCTAATATGGTATTCTGGTGAGAATTTTCATGTTAATTTCTCAACGTCAGATTTTGGAGTATTTAATGAATGAACACTATCTGATAAATTTTTCAACATATATACATTAGTGATATAATATATGGCTATGTTTAATGCTTTCTGCTTTGATCATGACTTATTAATTATTAGGGGATGCATTCTGATTTTATTCTTCAGACCTAGCTTATATCTGACAACTGACATCTAAAACAGGCGTTTTATAAGGAGATGCAAGCAAGGCTGTCTGCAATTTGTGATTCTGAAGCCTATTTTAGTTGCTGTTACGCTAATACTTTATGCAAAAGGGAAATATAAGGATGGAAATTTTAATCCAAAACAATCATATCTGTATCTTACGATCATCTATACAATCTCATACACTGTGGCTCTTTATGCTTTGGTGCTTTTCTACATGGCATGCAAGGATCTGCTTCAGCCATTTAATCCAGTTCCGAAGTTCATCATAATAAAGTCTGTTGTTTTCTTAACCTATTGGCAGGTAAAATCTCATGTTCTTGTTCTTTCCTTAAAGCATAGAAAAAGTGCAATACTTATTTACATTTACTTACTGTGTATTTGTCTAGCATCATCTTCTCTTTGCTTTCCATTAAAATGTTGCTCCCTTCTTTTTCAAAGTTAGTCTCTCTTGACATTTTCCATTAAAAGGAGCATTTAATGCTATTTACATAAAATCCTTAGGATCATAATTAATTATTAAAAATTTTTCTTTTGGAAGGACCTAAGGAGCAACGGTATGAACAAAATTAAACACTTCATTTCTCTTATTCCTTCTCCAGGGGGTTCTTGTTTTTCTTGCTGCAAAGTCAGGCTTAATAAAGAATGCTGAAGAAGCTGCTGAGTTTCAGAACTTTATAATTTGTGTCGAGATGCTTATAGCTGCGGTGGCTCATCTTTATGCCTTCCCATATAAAGAGTACGCTGGTGCAAATATTGGTCCGTCACGTGGTTTGACAGGAAGCCTAGGACATGCCTTGAAGTTAAATGACTTCTACCATGACACTGTTCATCAGGTGCCTTTATGTCAGGTTTTGTTTTGCACCAAATGGGTCCTATTTGGGGCTCTACCTTTTGGGTTTGCCCTTTAATGTTTAAAAGGTCTACTTCTTTTGCAGTTCGCACCAACTTATCATGATTATGTATTGTACAACCATAACGAGGGTGATGAAGGAACAAGAAAGTACCGATCACGAACCTTTGTGCCAACTGGACCAGAGATGGATGCTGTGAGAAGAAACAAGCACATGTTTGGAAACAAACTGGATGACATTCAGCTGTCCAGTCTCTCGTCTTCTGGTGCAAGCACTCCCCAAAACCCTATCGCTGTTCCAGATTCTGCACAACCTGATACCATGAAATCATCCCTACTTGTGGATACCACAAGTTCTTTTTCTGTTCCATATGATATGTCACTCATTGAGATGGATCTATCCAATTACCCTGAAAAAGTTCCTGCTGCAAATGATACTGAAAGTAGGTGACAAGTATGAAGGAATTGCCTTGGGTGAGAGATTTCCTTGTACAAAAGAAGGCGATTGCAGGGGCAGGCATGTGGGAACCTGCGGGGGCCTCCCATGCCCAATTTGGTGCTGGCACGGCCGTCAATTTATTGAATTGTGTTCCAAAGCCTTCTATTGTTTAGGTTTGCATTGCAACTTGTAGTCAACATCTTGGGTTTCCCACTGTAATTTAGTGGCCTCTCTTTTTTTGGAATATGTTGAGACCAGGGATTGAACCTTATATTTGTGATTGAAAAGACACATAACTCTATCATTGGACGATGTGGCTGATGGTTTTAGTGGCTTGTTTGTGGTAGTTATCCAAGCTTGTTAACATGCACCATAGATGGTGGACAGGATTATACTGGAAGATTACAGTTTCAGTCATCGAATTTGGTTTCAGATTCCCGCTCTATCCCCCGCATATTTCAACCATGTTTGCTTATGTGTGTTGGTTTGCCAGTACTCACATTGTTTGTCTGTGTAATCTGAAGGGCGCTTGAATTTGATTACATGTCGAAAATGACAATGTTTTTTTGAAAATAGGTAATGAAACGAAAATGACAATGTTATTCCGTTGAAAAAATTGAGTTGTTGACTTTCACTTCAGCTTTCACATCGTTCAATATGTCAGCTTGATATGGTTTGGCACGATCAGACCTATGAAAAACAGAGTTCTGATTTTAGAAAAATACTTTGACATTCGGGTCAGTAATTGTTTTGGGGTCAGCAGACATACACGTCAATATAAATGACATCAGATTCAGAGTAATCTTTGGAGAAGAAAAGTCTAAGGAGTTTGTTGGTTGGTTGATCTGACTAGTTTACAGTTTATTTTATTAAATAATTAATTATAATATTTAAAAATATTAATTTTAATTATTTTATTAATTATTAACCAATAATTATAATTATTATCTATTTTTAATAATGAAATCAAATTAAATTTAGAGTGCAAAAGAGTTAAGTGTCTTTATTTTAATAAACAAGTGTTACTTCGGTTTGGATATATGCTCTACTAATAATAATTATATTTTTTTATTTTGGTTGTATGATAAAAGATAATTATCTCACATTTTTTATTTTACTTTACTTACATGTTATGCTACTCAAATTTAAGATTTTTTACTTTTAATGGAAAAAGATGATTACTGAATTATTTAGATCGTTAATAATAATAATTAAACTTTTAATTGTAAAAAGAATCATATTTTATAATAAAATAAGATTATTTAATATGAAAATATATCTAATATTAACCAAATTCTCTCTCTATCAAATAGTTAATATAATATAATATGATATAATATAAATTATAATATTTGTTTCAAATTGTAAATTACTTGAGATTGTTAGTAATTCTGTTTGTATTTATTTGAGTAGTTTTTTTTTTTTTTTTGGTGAATATTTGTTTGAGTAGTTTTGACTTTAGAACAAGTTGTTTGGCCTCCGCCATAACCGTTGTTGCGGATGTAACCTGTGAAATGTACACGAAGACTGGATATAGGCCGGCGTGAGGTACTTTTAATTTATGCTTATGTCATTGAGATTACTTTTTATGAAGTGAATGGATAGGGAACCAATGGTGAAACTTCAAAGTGAGAGAATGTACTACTTATAACACTTTAATTTGTTGTACCTGTCTTGATAACCTTTACTCGAGTTAGATATACGGCTTTGTCTAATCTTTGAAAAAAAAATTTCCTACTTGAGTTTTATACAAATTCTTAAAAATAGGTTAGTGTTTGTTGCTTTTATTTTTAAAAAGTTAAAAAAATACATTTTAATTTATATTTTAAAATATGTGATTTTTTAATATTTTTAAGATATATTTATTAAAATAATATAATTTTAAAATAATATTTTTCATAATTTTTATGATATAAAATAAATAAATACTATTTTTTTGATTTTTTTTTTCTAAAAGTCAAATATGGTAAATTTTTAAAAGATCAAAAGTTAAAGTTTTATAGGTTTTTTTTAGAACATTAGATAACAAACTATATAATATGAGTAATTTTTTTTAATTTAAAATCTAAAATTTAAAGTTTTTAATTTAAAATCTTAAATTTTTAATCGCTCAAAACATCTAAGTAAATCTAAAGTTGTTATTTATGGAGTAGATATTTTATTGTTAAACATTTGAATTTGATAATTTTATTAGTTTTTTAAAAAGAAAATTATGATTATTTTACATAAATTCATTACACATAAAAATCCAACTAAGACTATAGCCCAAACAAACTCATAATATCATACTTCTATTTGTGGCTTCTGGACAGAGTCTTTCTCCACCTTACGTTAAGTGCTTTACATTTGCATTCTTCTACACCTGGATGGATCTTGAATGCTTCTACTGCACTTTTGCTAACCATTTATATATATATATGAATTATTGTAGAATCATCGATCTCATGATGGGAGTGAATTAATGCTGGAGAATACATTAATTTTCTATTAGCAATTAAGTGGGCAGATTAATTAAGATTTTATATATATTTATTAATGGTTAACAAATAAATAAATTCCATTGAGTGGATTTACACATTTTATTAAGTACAGTTAAATCATTTTTAAAATACTGAAAAGAAATAATATGTTAATTTAAATAAAAAGATGATTTGTAAAATGACTACGCAATGTTCATACCTTACGACCCTTTCAAGTTCCAAAGTCCAAACCACCTGAAAGAATAATTTGAACAAAGTCAGAAAGGAGAATGTGGACCAAAAGCATATCAGCTGTGTTTTTGTCGACCTAACGATGCATCTTGATCAACTGTGATTGAAAAAAAAAA